AACAAGGGGAGCCAGGACATCCAGGAAGACAGCAGCACCTTAGAAAAGGAAGAAGAAAGCACCTGTGAGACAACCGCATCTGCAATGAAAACAGCTAATGGTCTCCTTCCTTTCACGATGGCAGAAGCTCTATGAAAAGTGTCTAAAGACAGCAAGATGCCCCTTTTAAAACTACTTAAAGTTTGACAAACCAAAATTGAGTCTTAAAATGTACCCTTGTGAGAAGAAACAGGCATGGAGCATCCATATCTACCAAAACACACACACACTCACACTAACCCCAGGCGGTAAGAAACGGGTCTCTTCTGTGACACGGACCTTATCAAGTTTTGTCAGCAATGCTGCTGCAGGCCTCATCAAAGTCTAGTCATAATAACCCAGGAACTTGCACACTTAGGGACTTCAAACACTCATGACTGGGAGGGGAGGGCTCACTAGCTCTCACCTCAGCAACTTCAGATCACCCTGGGGTGGGAAGGGGTGCTGAGTGAGTGGGATGTTGCGGCTGGAGATGTGGACGTTCCCAGCCTGTGTTTGCAGTCAGTGGAAAGTGTGTGGAAATTTTTACTAGGATGGTATTAATACTCACCTTACTTTCCTAACTTACTTCCAACTACAAAGCATTAGGTTTCAGGTATAGAAATTGTTCTACCGTTCGGAGGCAGCATGCTGCCACTTCCTGTCGGGGCTCTGCGGCGAAACGAGAGGCACGGAGGGTTTCCCCTTCCTTGTGTCAGCTGAAGACGCAGCTCACAGCCTCCTTTTACCACATCCACCCCACAGAAAATGCAAAGATGAAGATTATTCATGAGATTCACCTCATTTAACTGTCTACCACCTGTTCTAAACAGTTCCAGGACACTGTTTTTCATGCCTTAATTGCTGCAACCCTCCAGTGAATGGAATTTCAATTAAAAAATAAAATCCATGCAAGATTCTCATCCTTCAGAACTAAAAGTAATTCTTAAAAGCTACTATTGTAAATGGAAGTAGTACCCTTCACAGAAACTGTGGGACAAAAATTAAGGCAAAAAGGGGGAAACTAATAAAACTATTACAAACAAGCAAAGGTCATCCAAAGAGCTTAACAGAAACAGCATCTGTAGAACTCCCTCACTTTCAAAGCAGGAGAATGCTTCTGGGAGGGTCACACGTCGAATAGACAAAAGACTGCCCAGTGGAGTTGTCAGAAGTTGTCCTTTACCAACTGGACTGCTGCATGCATTCAACAACGTAAAACAGGCCCGGGCCGGGGAGCTCAGTTGGTTTGAGCGCTGTCCCAATACTAAAAGGTTGCGGGTTCCATCCCTGGTCAGGCACATACAGGAGCCAACCAGTGAATGCCCAAATTGGTGGAATGACAAACTGATGTTCTCTTTCTCTCCCTTCCTCTCTCTCACTAAAATCAATAAATTACAGCACACAAACAAACAAACAAATACAACAAAAAAAAACAATGTAAAAGGGTTACTCAGGGTTTTGCAATTAGTACCAACATCAAAATTAATGCCCTTTAGTTGTTGTAACAGCTCAACCAAATCTCTTAGGAATACACTTGAGACATGACATTTAAAATCTGCTTCCTCAGAAAAGAAAAAGTCCCACTCAAAACTGCCTGCCAAGAACTTGCAACTCAAACTTCCCTAAGCCTAGACATCATAACACCCAGGAGGTTTCAGACCACTCAGTCCATATGGAAGAGGCCAGAACAAACCAACAAACCATAACCTCCTAGTACTTGATTTGAAAACCACCCTATAACCAAATATTCTTTTTAAAAAATGATAAATTATCCTTAAAATATACAAATAATCAAATATACTTACTACCATAGTACTAGCTCCCTATAATAATCCCCAAAATTCATGGTGAAATAGGCCATAAGAACAATTTGAAAGATGCTTAAGTGAGCTACTCTTAACAGCCATAAACGCCACCCAACCAAAAGCTAAGATTCTTAAGGTACTTAATTAACTGTCGCTATTTAACACGGAAAATGATGTTGTATAGGCAGCATAAAACCAGCTTTGATTTCCTCTTCAGTTTATAGTGAGAGAATTTGTTACCTACATAGTCTTCCAGTACAAAAGGAGGAGGACAGCTCCCAGCCAAGATCAGAAAACACTGAATCAATGGGAAGTATTGTATGCTGTGATTCATTGAGCAACTAATAATTAAAACCAAAGCAACATATACAGGGAGGCAGGCAGATTCCTCAGCTAAGTTATTAAACATTCAAGCCCAAGAATTTTAAAAATTGAAAAGTGTTGCTTTGCAGGAGATGGTAGTTAAGGAGTTGTATTTTCCTGACCGCACTATTCCCTAAAGTCACCAATTCTCTTAATACTGGTAACACTCACAGAACAATTTATTGCTCCACAGACACCATCCTATCGTTAGTAGTCACTTTTTCTCTTTTTCCTGCACTTGATCCAGAAAGGAAGTAAGGAGAGAAAATGGTAACAGTGCTCCCAGTTACTGAAGAAAGTACTGCTTTCCTTTTCCTCTCCTTTTCCCACCTTCTCTGTCTTCGCTGCTCAACCTCGGTGCTGCATATCCTGCTTCCTTTTTCTGTTTTTATCTCACACCCAGCTCTCCTCTACTTTCTCCGCCAAGTATCCTCGTTGTATCCTCTGGTCCCCTGAACTCTTCTCCTATCCAGTTTTCTTCTGCCCCCTACCATGACATCTGTGAAGACCTCTTGTGCCCCTCGTCTCTCACCTCCTGATGACTTATTCCCCTGAATTCCCTTCCCATTGCTGGATTCTCACCATTCTTGTCCCTTGTGTCCTCTGTTCCTTTACTTCACGTCCCTCCTATTACCCCAACCTTTCATTTCCCCCTTCACATTTCCTTCCTTTTTCCTGTCTTTTAATCCATTTTACACCCACTGTGCCTTTCTCTCTTTCGGTGAGATTTCTTGTGCTCTCCCCCGCCACACACTTTGTCCCTCTAAGACCCTTCCCTGTCACCTCCCAACCCTCTCATTTCCCCTAATACCCCTGGTCCTTGTTCCTCCGGTTCCCCTTCCCCGTCCTTTGCCCCTCGCATCTCTGCTCGCCCCTCTCCCTCACGCCTTTACCCTCTCCCACTGCCCTCGCCGTCCCGCCGTCCCCGGGGTCCCATCCCCGGGCCCCCCAAAGCCCCCTCGCACCCGCCCCCTATTCACTCCCAGTCGCTGGCCGCGGCCCCTCCCTCACCGATGGTGGAGATGAAGGTGGTGTTGAAGGCGTCCTCGGAAAAGCGGAAAAGGAGGCAGGTCTTGCCCACCCCCGAGTCTCCGATCAGCAGCAGCTTGAACAGATAATCGTACGTCTTCGCCATCTTCTCGCTCCGGCCCTCTGACCGGAGAGCGAGAGCAGCGGCAGAGCGAGGCGGGGAGGGGGCCAGGGATGGGGGGGCGTGCCCGCCCAGCCGCTGCTGTTAGCACCGCCCCCACCCCGCCCCTTCCCTTAGAGATGTCCTGCGCGCCCCGCCCCGCGTGGCCAATCCGCCGGGGTTTTGTCATCACCGCCCCACGCCCCGGGGCTTCATGGGATTTGTAGTGCTTTGAGAAGCTTCGGGCGTGCCTGGCGCTGGCTATTTGGACTGCCCCAGAGGATAAAAGATCCCCTGTGGGTGGGGTCACCAGGTGGACTAGGCGTTTTGTCTAAGCTAGGAAGGCAGGCCAGGTTTCAAACTCTGCGTGTCACGCCGCAGGTACTTAACTTCGCCATTTCTTTGTGTGCGGGCGCCTTTCAAATACAAAACCTCGGAATCTAAGTCCCACGGTTCCTGCTTGTCTTCCGCCGGGACCCAATGCTTTCTTTCCAAATCGCTGCTGTGGCGCAGCCTGTAGATTATCTGCAGTGCATTATCTGGCTTCTCCTCCAGTTTCTGTCCTGAACCTCCCAAAGCCCCCTCCAGCACCCCCTAAGTTACAGAGCTGTAAAAGAATGATTGTTCTTCTAACTTGAACCACATTCCTATTCTCTTTTTCAGGCCTGCAGACCAGAGCCAAATACGATGGGTATTTTAGAGGATCTGCTATGCTGCCCGGGGTGTCCAACCCGCGGTATAGACTATGCAGACCGCTCCCCTGCTCCCGCAAGAGGATGGATTAAAAAAACGAAACAAAACTGGAATTGAAAATATTAAGGGTGTGCTACATGCCTGTGCCCTTAAAAATTGCAAGCATCCTGTGAGGCGGGAATTATAACCATGGGAATCTAGAGACAAAGAGTTGGATTTTGTCTTGGTTTAGCTACTTAACTGCACACAGGCAGGCTGCCTGCACCTCGGTTTTTCTTATCTGTAAAATGGGTATAAAACAAGCTCTTTCATAGGATTGTAGGGAAAATGAAATGAGACACACTGTGAAAGCACTTTGAAATTCACAAGGCATTGTAGAAATGTTAATGGTGATGGTACATACCTTCTTTAACCCTCCAAGGCAGGCTCTCAATGGATGACAAATTCGGGTGGGGGTGGGGAATTCCCAATTTAACCCTTTATATTTTAGACTATTCTTTATTTTTGTAGAAGTACTACTGGTCAGGCCTCTTTCATTTGCTAGTGGCAGAAACCCAACCAGACCAAGCTGTCTGAAAGGAGTATCCACTGGCTCAGGTAAAGCTGAAGAACAAGTAAGGTAAGGAGGTCTGGGACAAGAAGCTCCACCCAGTCAGGGCTCCCTGTCTCTCATCTCTTCTTCACCCTTCTCAGTTTTAATCCTAATATGTCAAATACCAACAGATAAGACCACATGAACAAAAGCTCTTTAGAATCTTCATTGTTTTTTAAGAGGATAAAGGGGTCTTGAGGCCAAAATATTTGAGAAACATTGGCCTAGGCATTTCCTTAGATCTAAGGAAACACGTTCTGGTAGGTTGGAGGAGGTCATTAAGGGAACCACTGGACTCAACCACTAGTGGAATAAGGAAAAAATTTGGATAGTTAGTTGAACAAGACAGCAGGCTTTTATAAAACACATCTTTAGTGCTTTGTGACTTCATGTACAATGACAGTGAGATTACATTCAGTCTTGGTATGGAAGAAGATTCAGTTGGCCCTAGTATTGGCCTTTACATTGTATATAGAAAGAAGATGAAATGTATCATTAACTCACACTTTTTGATCATGCATTACCCAGAAAGTTGTTGCTAATCTAATGTCTAATTCCTAGAGCTCGTTTGATGGGAACAAAGCTCTAAGGAAATCAAAGTCCCAGTTTTCTGCCACCTCATGAGGAGGGATCCTGCCCTCTGGCACAGGCTGAGCCTCCTTGCTCCAGCCAGTTCTTGGGCAAGTCTGTGAACTTGGCATCAGTCAAGGCTGAACAAATGTGGACAGCTCAGTTCTACACCTTCATCTTCATTCTGGAAAAGAAAAAAAAATCCATAAAGACCAGTGGGATCTTCTTTCTTTTATAAAATATGCACTGATTAAAGTAACTTTTAGTCCCACTATCTGCGAGCAACTGTTGGCATTCTCTTTTTGTGTGAATAAGAACATGCTGATGTGGTAAAGAATTTAAGTTCAGAAGAGAAGTTATAGTTAGGAATGTTAAAGTCCCTAAATTTCCTTAGGGGGATTTTGTTAATTAATGGGAAATTTTTTAAATTCCATTTTATTTTCACTTCCCCAGTTTTTCTCTACTACCAAGTGTATATAACACTGGGACTTTCTAGCAGGTAACTATGTGCACCACTGTTGAACCATCCAAGCATTTTGATATATTGACATTACTTCAAGAAAAATCCATTTTTTCCTTTATGCATTATTAATTTTCATATTTTGTAAAATAATATATTACTTAGACATGTGATTTTGGTGGTAGTAGCAGTGTTATTGAATCAAGGCATTTTGCTCAAAGGAGTGGACAATACATTCATAGATCTGAGAGTACCACAGGTAAACAGGTTGCTGGTTGCCACTTTCTTTTTCCAAGTGGCATCTACAGATAATTTTTTCAAGAAAATCACATCACTACTCTTCTGCCAGTTATCCAAACCCACTCTTGAAATGCTACATCACTGCAGAGCACTAGTCAGACCAGCACATTCCATTTGACCCTGAAAATGCTTATTGAAGCTTTTGCACGTGGCAGCTTGACTTACAGAAATCTAGACATCCAAGGAGTTTACCCTCTTTGGTTTTTGCCAGGCTAGCATTCTTTCTTCCTGCTTTTGGGAAGCTGCTCCTCCCCCACCGGTGACTGTGAATCATGGTACTTTACTCCTCCAGCCACAGAGGTGGGCATATGACCAGGCTGGGTCCACTTGAGTTCTTTTCTGTGAATTTTCTAATGATACTGAAAGGAAGTCTGTCTGGTGTGAGGTCTGTGTGAACTCTTGGTTTTGACCAGAGCTCCAGTTCATTTTTCTGTATTCTCTTGCTGCTGCCCTTCTCGATATGTTTAATTTGTCATCAGGCTAGCTTTCCTCGTGGTAGCAAGCAGGACTGCCATGTTGCACAATTCCGAAGGCATTATTAACTTCTTACAGTAGTTTATTCATCTTAAGGGTCAAAGACCTCCAAGAATCTACAAACATATTCTTGAGGGTCTGTGTGTTCTCTAGGAAAATTTTCAAATTAATTCAAGCATTCTTTAACTGGTTTGAATTGCTCCATGAAACGTGATTACAGGAAATGTCACCTTTCTTAATTGCTTAAATGAAATTATATTTGGCTGAGACTCCTTCTCATCAAAGGCTGACACATTTAGTAGTAATCATTATTGGGACTTTTCCTCCCCTTAATTTTATCCTACAAGAATCCAGGTGCTTATGTGGTCCTGAAAAATTAGGGGCAAAGCATCCTCTGCCCTTCAGTCTGCGCTCATCCATATTGATGCTTCTATCCAACCACTCCTGAGTTCTGGTTCTCTGCCATCTGTTGAGCACAGCTGTCCCGGTGGGCTACAAAGATGTCCTTCGTGGTGATTATTTTCACTGACTGATGACTCAGCCATTGAGTAAGTTGTCTCTGTTATCTAATAATAGTTTATGTACTTCTTTGTCTTCTCCCTTAAAACTTGAGCTGATTGAAGAAAGGGACATTGCTAATTTTTCACTTTGTCCCCAGCATGCCTAGCATGATGCCTTACACATAGTAGGTGCTCAGTTGAGTTGTTGAATGAATGAACATCTGACTATTATGCCAGCACTCTAGGTATTTTAAAAATATCTGGGACACCTTCATTTTATTATTTGCTACAAGACCTAGGTATTTTTGGTCTCACTAATACTCTTTTGGTTGTATTCTAGCCATCTATGTATGTTATTCATTCTCTAAGGATTCTATTCATTGTTGTGATTGTGTATTATTTCTCTAGCTCGTCAAAGTCATATTGAATAATAACTCCTCAAAAATACCAACTTCTCTTTATCACTTACGTGTCATCAAAAAATATGCTATTTGTTTAATGATATTCCAGTCGGATAATTCTATAGTTATTTTTATCAGAGAGGGTCTAACTATACTCTTTCCACCCACTGATGTTTTCTGAGCAATCAGTGGGTGAATATTATCTACTCAAACAAATATTCATTAAGCTCACACTATAAAACCAATGCAGCAAGGTGTCCTAGAGGATACAAAGAGATCTATCATGTGGTCCCTGCCCTAAGTTTGCTTCTCAGCTAATTGAGGAGAGGATGCGCAAGTGAGAAGTTTAATGATCAATGGGAGGCAGATATTTGGCTGGTACACACTTCATTTATTCTGATGGGTCAGGTGTCTATTCTGATTGGTTGGTTTTAATTAGGATTGATTAGGCATTCATTCCGGCTGGGTATCCATTTTGATTATTTGCATATACATTCTGATTTGTCAGACTCCCAATCTGATTGGTTGAATGTTCATGCAAAACTGATACTAAAATATTTTGCATATCACCGCTGGATGCAAAAGTTAAATAAAAATGGTATGACAATCTAAAAAAATTGCTACATGAAAGTACAGTATCCTCTTGATCAACAAATCTGTATAAAGGTAGCTTCTTATAACAAAGTCAGCAAAGTGTAGAGGGGATGAGAGGACAATCTGCATCCCTCAGACCTGGGTTAATGAACATAACTGAATGGAAGGCCATCTATGGCACGGGCCCCTAGTAATAGGCAAAGCCATGGTCAATGCCCAGATGAAGGCAAAACTCTTTTCTTGGGAGCTGAGAGCAGATACCTAGTCTCCTAGAATAGACAAGAAGCCACTCAAGTTGCAAATATTATGGGTGGCTCCATTTCTGGAAAGGGTCTAACCCACAGAAAGAGGTAGAGCTTAGCTTGTGTAGAGAGTCGGCTCAGTTTTTACTCTACTAAAGGGGGATGGAAAGGAACCATTCTTTTACCTCTTATATTATTTCTTACTCTGATAATAAAAGTTTTGACAATAAAACATGTTAGTGAAATTCTTTCTTTTCATTAACCTCAGCGTTGCTATGTAAGATTTGTGTCAAATTGAGCATATGCAGTAAGTACTAGGAATTTTGAGTACAGATTCTTATATGCTTGAGTGATTAAAGAAAGACTTCTGGGACCAACTTTAAAATGAACTCTGATCCAATGGCAAAGTCAAGACAGACCAAAACTTAAAATCAGCATCATAACAGGTACTGGGAAGCTTATGGTAGTAAATAATAGAACACTAAATGGCTTAAATAATTAAAAAATATTTATTTAATCATATACTGAAATAATAGTGACAGGTGAGTAACCCAGCAGCTCAAATGATATGCCTGGGACCTGGTTTTCTCTCTTTTGGTTTCTTAGCAATGCTTCCTCAAAGTAATATTTATTTCAACAGACTGTCGCCAGGTGGTTACAACATGTCTTCCTGAAACTCCTGGGACTCTTTGCTTTCAGATTCAGACAGAGCAAAATGTAGAGAATCTTCCTCGAGAGTTCAAATAAATACCCTGGAACTGAGTTGCCTGAGCCATGACTACCCTTGCCTGACTAACCCTAGGGCCAAAGAGAATGGTATAAGCCAACTGGCTTAAACCATTGGAGCTGAGAGTGAGGTCAAACTCACCCTAAATCACAGGGTTCTGTTAAAAATAGAGAAGACAGAAGGAAACAAGGCTGCAGAAGCAGCAAATGAATATCTCCACATGTTTCAGTGTCAAGTGCATATTGACATTTGTATCATGTACTGCTAAATGGTTGATTATGTTGGAACTTCTGTAGAAGTCATGGGTTGAATACAGGAAAATTCTGACTTGTCATTCTCTTAAACAGATCTTGAACTGGGAAGAAGCAGCACGAAAGAAACATTGTTTCCTTAAAAAGGGGATGTGTAGTCCAAAGCTAGAATTACCATAAGCACCTAGACATCTGGTCCCTTTTCTACCCTACTTCAGCAACCAGCTAAGGTTAAACACTCCTGCAGCATTGAACTTAGTAAATTCTCAGACAGGCTCCATTGAGTCTGTTCTGGGGTTTTGTAAAGGAAAGAGGAGTGAACTAAGCGTCTGGTGACCTGGGTTCTGTTCCCAGCTCTGCCACTAACTAGCTCTGTGACCTTAAAAAAAAAACAACCACCTTTCCGTGGCTCCATTTCCTCATCTGTAAAATGAAGGAGTACTGGATTAGATAATACCTTTGTGTCTATAAAATCCTTTGGTTCTTGAATCAAAGTTCCCCTAACAGATGACCTGAGGTTTGCCATGGGGTTTCTGGTTTTACAGACAAACCAAACACCCTGGTGAATCAAGGGGATTTATCAACAGTTTCCAGGCCTAGCAGATCCCATGGAGGCCAGACAGGGTGTAGTGCTGGGAAAGGTGCCCAAGACTCCTAGTTCCTTGTTCTAAATAGCATTCAGTTCACCCTATGACTCAGTTATCAGGACTTCTCTCTTTACAAGGAGTGCAAAGTTTCAGTCCCCTCTGTGACGGCAGCAATAATTTATTGGGTTGCCAGTCTATAGGGTTAAGTGAAAAATGAAGTTCTGCTTTGTATTTAGAACCATATCCAATTAGATTCCTGCCTCAAATTATTACTGAATAATCTCTCCTGAATAATCTTTTTTTTAAGATTTTATGTATTTATTTTTAGAGAGGAGAAGGGAGGAAGAGAGGGAAAGAAACATCAATGTGTGGTTACCTCCCGCGAGCCTCCCACTGGGGACCTAGCCCACAACCCACGCATGTGCCCTAGACTAAGAATCGAATTGGCGACCCTTTGGTTCCCAGGCCAGCTCTCAATCCACTGAGACACACCAGCCAGGGCTCTCCTGAATAATCTTAAACATAGACTATTTTTTTCCTAACTTAGTAGCAAGGGCTTATAGATGGAGTTAATCAAAGAGCATGTTGAATGCCCCTGAAATTATGATAAGCCACACTTTTTCTCTTGAAATTCCTTGCTCTCACTAG